GATAATATAATTAATTGATTTTATCATATCATGCTGCTGTGTCACCAACTTATGTGAAAGGTGTACTAGAAATGTAAAAAAGCTGGCATTTAAGCAGTATTCTCCAAGACAGAGCCATTAGATTGCTTTTAAACACAAATTTTCACCTCATATATTTTGTGATCTCTCATCACAAAAATTATTTGGCTGGTGTTATTCAGGAGAATTTACTGTAGACCTAGACCAAACTTTAAAATATTTTATTCCCTGGAAACATTTTAGCAAGTCTACAAATAGAATTCTCTTACTAGTTTATGTATCTCATGCCATTTACAGGCTAAAATGGGCATTTTTTTTCAGACAAAATAGATGACATTTCATAAGAGAAGTGGAACTTTTCAGCAACAATAAACTCGTAATCTATTAACATGCTTCCAGAAATACAGACTACTTCCAAAATAAGGAAAATTGATTTTCCTAATCAATCAAACTTCTTTTTTTCCTAATCTTTGAAAGTGTCACAGTGTGGAATAGATGTTAAATGGATGTGGGTATTCCATATTCCTTGGCTTCCTAAATCATGCAGAGCAGCTTAACTGGAGTGATACTAAAATGCAGAGTTTGGTGGAACAGGCAGAAGGCAGGTGCATGGCAAAGCCCTGGCCTCACTGCCACGAAGGCAGCAGAGTGCTGGCCGGCCTCTGCTGGAGGGCCCCGCAAAAGCACTTAATAAATCCGACCTGTGGAGCCAACTTTGAAGAATTGGCTAATGTGTTACAGACAGTCTTTGGGATTGTTTGTTATGGTGTCCTCTAGCAGTATAATTACAAATGTGCTTCAGAAAATGTTGTTCTCAATTATCGCAGCCAATCTCTGAAAATCGAGCTGGAAAACTACCAAATATCTTGCTGTGCGGTTGGCATCCGGAATAAGGCACCTTGAACCAATAGCACGTTTTTAAATTTAGATACTGGGTAAGTGATTGGCTGAACACTGAAGATGGCAGATCTGGGAACCTCCAGATGTGCACATCGAATTCTGCATGGATTGATTTCCATCGCTTTGCTTGCCTGTAGTGATCTGCCAAGAACTTGGAGAGATACCTGCAGATTGCCATAACAGACCTTGAGCCCTCTATTTTTTAAGGGCGTTAGCAACCAGAAAGAAACTAATGAAAGAGATCTTCAAAAGAACTTGATAAAACTATAATCTGCTTTTCTGCTTCTGCATCTATTGTTGCTTCTAAGGCTCTAGCTTATTAATGTAAGTAAAATCAAATGGAGTATTAGTTATAAAATATATAGCTAAGAGCTAAGAGCTCTATAGCTGTATAGCTAAGAGTTGTCTTAGTGAAGGCTGATTTATGAGTTTTCTAATTCCAAGCAGCTGAATTTATGGATTCCATACTGAATTTATGGATTTCTGCTATTTGAATGAATGAGGCATTACACACTTCTAATTAATGAGCAAATGTTTTTAGTGAGCAGACGGATAAATACATACTTTTTTTTTCCTAAGCTCTAAATTAGGAAACCTTTTTGGGGGCATATGTGTGAAAAAATGGTAATGCTGGAAAAAGTGCCTTGTTCTGTTACAGTGCTAAGTTTTTCAGCAGAAATGTGGAGCAAAAATATTGGTTGGATTTAATTTTAAAACATTAAATACTGCATGGTTTACTTTGGTTTTCAGTACTGATTTAGAAATAGAAGCACTTGGAAGTGCTAAGCCTCACTAGGCCACATTGTCATGGCCTCACCTGGTGCAGATTGGGAGAAGATTTGGTAACATTAGTGAAATCTATCAGTTTAAGAGGTAATATTAATTACCTGGATCAGCTGCATTGTATGTATTGTAAGGAGAGTACAGAATTTAAATCACAAATTTATGCCTTAGCAGCTGTAAGGCAAATAAAATATTAATAATGCAGTGTTTATTTTGGAATATTTTATTATATTATTACTAAAAATATCCAAATAGGTGAAAAAAATCTAGTACTACAAATGTTCTGCATTTTGGATGAGTTATTTTTGTAGTCTCTTGGCAGACTGTATCATTTCTTTTAGTACTTCACCTGTGACATTATAAATAATACATATTTATTTAAGTAGAGCTATTATACACTACTATTTGCTGTACATAATTTATAGACAGTGATTTCCTAACATGAGTAGGTAATGTTCTCTATGAAAAGATAAATTCAGTATTTTTAAAGGAATGAAGGAATTACTTAAACAGAATTGAATCGAGAGCTCTCCTTTGAAGGCACAGAGTGATAACTGTCCATTTAAAGAGTAGTATTAACTTTCAGCCAGTGAAAATTTTATTTGCCTTCTAAAATAGAGGCAAAATTTGTGTGAAACATCAAATAAGATTATCAGCGGTACTACCTATATTGCAGATGATAGCAGCATCTTAGTAGAAACACTTTGCATCAAATCTGTGGATCTCTGTTAGCAGAAAGGAGCCCTGCCCCATATTACACTGAGATGGCAAGTCCGTCTCCAAGAGATGAGTTCTGCATTCCTGCTTATTTGGTGAGAATCTTACTGTGTTCCTTTCTGATGTGGCCTCATTGCCGCTTTAACAGCTGTATTTATTGACAACCAAAAACAACTGACTTCTCCCCAAATAGCAGAAAAGTCTGTTCTAATTTTCTAATACAGTGCGTAGACAGATTCCTCCCTGCCTCATTTTTGTCTCAGGGAAAAAGCTCCACATTCCTGATACAAATGCCTAACAAACATTTGCCCATTCTTTGATTTTCCTTTATCTGTTCCTTTCTGAGGTCTTTTTAATATTATATTTTTAAGAAGTGTAATAAGGGTTGTGCCTGAATAAACATTGGACACAGCACACTGGGAAAAAGCAATATTTCAAATTTTCTTAATATTTTCTCCCTCTCCCACAGATAATTTGGTGTTTTAAATCCCGATGTAATGTGTAATGTTATTTATGGTTTCTGGAAGTCTGGAATAGGATACATGGAAAACCTTTCAAAGCAGCAGCTGTGTTTTGCCAGGTTAAGTGTCAAGATAGCCTTGCATTCCACGTACAGTCTTCTTCTCTTCTGCGAGGCTGAATTGTGTGTTACTCATTAAGGGACAGCTCCAAAGTTCTCTAAAGTGAAAGTTTCCCGTTAACTTTTGTGGGGTTTGGCTCAGGCACCAACGGCTGTTTCATATGCTTTGGTTAGGAGGATTAAAATGTACTCTTTCATTAGTTAAGTGCAAACTGAATTTCAAATGAGTCAGAATATATTGAACGTAAAACTGTCAAATCATTGGTATTGAATTTAGACACTGTTAAACAGGGGCAGTGCTGACACACAAGGGTTTATTCTTTGTTACTACTTGCTTATAACCCCCGTTGATGATAATGGGAATTACAGGCATATCCGGAAGGGAATGTGCCCTTTGTAAACTGCCTCTAAGCCGTAGATTAAGGAGACACGATTCTGTGATAGCTCAAATACTTTCTGCGTGCAGGGAAAACTTTCTGAGCTGCTTGGAAGGCAGACCTTTAAGAAAGAAACATCCCCCAGAGCTGTTGTCTTGCCTTTCTTCATATGACAGGGAAGCTGCCAGGAGATCGTGTTTATTTTGCCAGAAGAGCAGAGCAAGAAAGATTAATACAGTGTATTAGAGCCCTCCCTGGCAAGAGAAATTGCTCATATTGTGACAGGACTGGTAGGTACTGTGACAAGGACTTCGCAAGGATTGTGCAAAACTGGTAGAAAAATATAACATGTAAATTGATTTTTTTTTTCTTTTTGTCCGAATGTCATATGAATCAGAGACTAAAGAGATAATCAGAATGGGTCATAAACAAAATACTATGGTAACTTTTGTATGTACCTTGATTGTATTTTCTTTGTAATTATTGAGGAGGCGCACCTCAACCTTTCCTGCGATAATGCCTGTGGTTAGTGCCCTTGGTTATTTTAGCAGTGTCAACACAAACCACTTAATTCCCCAGCTGCTCTTCCGGCCGGCTGGAATAAGGAGTCGTTTGGCTGCCTTGCCAAGCGTTAGGAGTCCACCCAACACAGTACAAAGCAGAAAGGGGTGGTGGATGGTAGTGGAAGGGTGAGGGGCTGAGGACTGATATAACCATCTCTCCTACCCTCCTTACCACAAGTAAAATACCGTTGATGATACATCAGTAGGTTATCCTTTAGTAGCTAAATATGTTTGCCTTGTTGTATAAGCTGTTTACAAATAGGAAGGCAGATGTCAGACTACTGAATTTGTTTCTATCACTGTCCTAAAGATACAGTTTTAATTACAAGACAATTTTGGCTGTGTGCAACCTGGCTAGAAGTGTACTGAAACCCTGGTGAGTGCTCCTGAGTCCACAAATGAAGCACGTTTTCCTCCTTGTCTCCAAAACCATTACGTGGCAAGTGTGCTTGCACACATACGCATACACTTTCTCTCATTAGTTTTGTAGTTTATGGTTTCCAAGTCATTACATCTAATAATAGTTATATGGAGCTCATCTTTCCCTAAATGTAACCCAGATGCTGTTCCTAGAAAAGCCTTGTTTTCTTGCACTAATGGGGTTGAGTGGTGACATGTCATTTACATCATGATTTGACGTAAATTTGTCAGTCACAATTTGTATGCAGTGATCTGCTAATAACTGCAATGTATGGGGTCATCTGGAAGGGAGCGGGTGCAAGCAGGTGTCACTTCCTACCCTTTTGGCTAACAGTGCCCACAAGGGATTGAGGCTGTAGCAAGTTTGCCATCTGCATCCCCGTTTGCTCTGTTCTGGGAAATTGCTGCTCTAACCATCCTAGAAGGCAGAGAGTGTGGTCACAAGGGGAAGCCGTGGAACAAAAACCTGCAGGTGTTGTATTAATTGCTCTTAGCTGCCTTGATGGGCATCACCTGGAGCTCCCCTACACCCTCTGAGCAGTCTGGGAGTTCAGTCCTTCTAGGAGCTGCATGGGAGGTTTATTTGCCTGTGCTATAAAATGTGCTATAAAAGAATGTGCTATAAAAATTACCAAAAGTTATTTTAATGTTTAAAATACTTGATGTCTTGTGTTTTGAGAAGGACCCAGTAAGAACAGGTAGGTGTTAAGGCAAAAGAATTTCTGTCTGTGTTGCAGGCCCCTGCAGGTGCTGACATTCTGCCAAAAGGAATCTTGGCCTCCATTTTCTTTTCCCTCCCAAGTGCCTTCCAGATTTGGGAGAAGAGCTATATATTTTTTCTGGAAGTAATGTTTTCATTATGCTGAAGCAGGGATGGTTTTTAATCTCTATGAAATGGATGTCTAATTTATAATTAAATGTACCTACTGATTTTGTTTTGAAAGGGGTGAGGGTGCAGTAAATGAAACGTACAGGAAGTGTCCACAAAATATGAGGGTGGTTGACCAACCCAGTCTATCAGTGCACTGTCAAGCAAGATGAGTGTATATGAAGATGTACCTTTTGGGATTTTGAGACCGTACTGTGTGTGTGAATTTGAACGACAGGATAAATTAATACAAACCTTTTTTTTTTCTATGGGTTGTTTTGTTCTGCTTCTTTTGTAAGAGGTTGAGCCTATCGTACAAAAGCACAGTCTAAATCCTAGAAAATTTTGCCATCTGTTAGTGGGTGTTTCTCTGATGAGTCTTGATTTTTATTTTTTTTTAAGCATAGTTTCCAAGGAATTGCTGCCATTTGTCTGACTTGTCATGACATTTTAGTGATTGAGAGTTTTTGTTTAGGAGAGACAAATGAAAATGAACCGAGTAGAAACACTGTGCATATTCTTCTGAGTCACTGTGCCCTTTGCTGTGCGAGGGCAAACTAGTTTTACTGTTCTCTGCAAGCTCAGTACAATAAAGACTGCTGTTACAGCCAGGCTTTTGAACTTTGCTGCTGAAATGACTCACATACCAATAAGCATTATGCAGAAATGTCGTCAGCAGAGCTCCAAATGGCCAGCATTGTTCTGCTAAAATGTTCCTCTGAAACTTGTGAACTTGCCCGTGCCTCTCCGAATTGTTTTTTAGTGTAATAGATGTCTCTGCTTTAAAGAGAACTCCTTCTCCCTGTTCGCACTTTATCGAAGCGGTGACGTTTGGACATCTTAAACTATGAAAGATTCTTTAGATTTCAAATGTGCAATGTCATTTAATCTGTAATGGAATTTGTTCAGGAATGCCTCCTATATGACATCTTTCTCAGCCCCTAAGAAAAAAGAATTATGCTGCCAACATGATTATCCCTCATTTCCTGATCTAATTATTTTTAAAAGAGATTATTTGTATTTTATATCCTGTAAGTTTTCTTTAGGGAAAGTAATCACCTGCTTAAGAGTTCCTTGTTTGAGTTTCTGAGTGTCTAATTAATATCTTTATGTTGGGAGGGAAAAGTACTCCAGTAAAGGTCTTCTATTTATGAAAGTGGAACTAGGAGCAGGTTATAATCTTGCAACAGTGATCTAAGTTACTTTTTGTGAGTTTTGAATGTCTGAAATGATTTGGTGGGTTTTTTTTTTCATTTTTCTTCTCTTACATTGGATTTCATGATCATATTGAAGATTTCATTCATAATCTTTAAAAGTATGCTGCCAAGTTGCACATTCAAATATTCTCAGAAATGAAATTTCTTTTCTTCCACATTTCTTGATTGTTTGACTAGAAAGAAAACATGTCTTCAAAAATGATGATAAAATCTGTTAATGTTTTATTAATCTAAGGCTCACAGACCACTGAAATATTGCACATATAGTAGAGTGAAAACAGAATAAACTAAAGGATACATTATCTTCATTTAAAAAATGAAGATGTCAGCAATGTGGAAATGGTGCAAAAAATGCAAGCAGCAGGAAAAAGCTGATCTCTTGATGACTTTCTTGTTTATTTGCATAGATCTAAATACTTTTAAAGAAAATTTGTGACCTTACAGAGTTAAATGAGGAAAGATAATTTAAAAAAAACCTTATAAGATGGTCAATATTGGCCTCGTACAATAAATACTTCTGCATTAAAAAGAGTATATGTGAGAGGAGAAAAAGATGGTTATTGAGGATAAAATCCATGCACAGTTTTTTGTTTGTTTGTTTTTAGTATACATTGGAATTATGCCAGCTATTAAAGTTTAACCTTCAAAGAATATAGACCTTTTAATATTTTTTTGAAGTGTTTCAAGTTCACCAAAATTCTCTTACTGAGAGAATTTGGAGCCTCATTTCCAAAAGGAGTTTAAGAACTGGACCCGTAGATCCTAGAGTTAGTTTGGTATTCGGTACACTTAGGCCTTGATTCCAAAATCAGTCCCAGGGGCTACTCGTCATGTGAGATGCTAAGTGGAAGATAACGTTCCTGATGGAATGAAGGTCTAATAAGTATTTCCTAAGCTAACTTCCCATTGCAATAATTTTTCCCCTACCAGTTGTTCATTTGACAACATTCCTTATCAATATTATTTGAATCTTTCTGCTGCTTTTTGAACGAACAAAACACCAAGTTAAAACAGGATACCAAAAAATGAAGGTTTAGTGACCACTCTTTATCTCTAGCAAATTTTTGGTATTTCATCCCTTAATTTCTTTTCTTAAAAATGCCTTAGAAGTTCTTTTATAAAAAAAGGTAAGAGAATTGTTCAGGGCAACTGCATGTCCCTGTTTTCTGACTCCCTAAACTGTCTTAGGTAAGGAGCAGGTCAAGGCTTTCCCTGAGAGTGTCACCAGCAGCTGGTCCCCTGCAGAAGCAGGAGGCCTTCTGCTAAAGCCTCTCTGTGAGCAGGACCAAGCAGCAAGGTGCAGATTCAACAGCTAAATGGCAGAGAATTCATAGGCTAAGTCACAAAGTGCCTGACTCTCTTCTGCAGCTTGACTCAACAGTGCAAATAACAGAAGTAAGTTTTCATTACTTTTTTTTTTTTCCTTTTTCCCCCGAAGTGGGTGATAGAAATTCAAAGCCGCCTTCTCCCCTTTCACATAACTGAAATCACCCAAAGTGAAGTTACTTTCTTCTGAGAGAAACCAACTGATATGCTCTGTCCTGTGGAGGAAAAAAAAAGAGCTTGTTCAGAACCAGTGCTCAGGGGTTTGCTTATAGGTGTCATTGTGTCTCACATCCCTGCTGCGAAAATCAGCTTGCATTTGAATGTGCATCTTGACCCATAAATGTCACCCTGGTCCACTGAGCATCTTGACTTCAACATTTCCTGTTGTAAAATGGACAATGGGATAACACTCCTTTTTCTGAAGGAGGGACCTGTGACAATGTGTGCATGTGTGCAGTCAGGAGAAACTGCGGCACCCGGGATTTAAAAGCATGTCATCAGCCACTGAGCGGGAGATCACAGGAGAGCCAAGTTGCTGGACAGTTTTTGAAAAACACAAGGATTATCATTTCTGTTTCCAAGCCACTTGTCCTTTTCAGAGCGCTCAATCCTCCTTGGCTTCTCTCCATCAATGGCTCAATGATGTGCCTCATAGCGGAGCGCGCCCAGCTGCGTGGTGGGTCAAGCCGCCGGTGCGCAGACAGACCCGAGCGCGCTCCCGTCCCGGGCACACATTGCTCGTGGTGCTGGCCTTGCTCGCCTTGCTTGCCTTTTCTTAATTACGTTCCTTTTCAAGTACAAAAGCGCCTGAGCCTTAGCGTTGGAGTCTGAAATTTGCCTTATGTGAAAGCGAAATTTTGTGAGGCAAAAAAGTTGAGACTTCAATATATGGCCGGATGTTTAACTTGGGACTTGCTAGAGTACTGTATGTTTTGCCCCAGATATTTCACTGTGCTGGGACCTAAACAAAAGTGTGCGCAAAAAAAAAAAAAAAAAAGAGAGAGAGAGATGTTTTTGCAGCGTTTCTCCTGTCAGGTTTTTGGTTTTGTTTTGTTTTTCTGAAGGATGCCCTGAAAGGTTCATGTAAAAACATTTAAAAAAAAGAGTTCCAGGTTTACCCCTACTTGATGATCACATAGCAGTTGCTTTCTTTAAGGAAAAAATGTCCTTCAGAATTTTTAAAACATTAAATGTTTTAAATAGTATTTGTACAGGTTCCAGAACTTCCTGCCAGAAAGATTAGCTGAGCAAACAATGGCACTTTAATATAGAAATATTTGTGGACATACTTTAAGAAACTTCATTTGGCCTTGATTTGAATTCTGAAATTAAGGCATGCGAAGGATGTGATTGTCCCTTGAAGGTGACATAGCATTAGTTAAGACTCATTCAAATATTTTCATTGCCCAAGTACCAGTTTTCATCCTGTTCAGTCAAAGAATTTTGATTATTTTTTTTTTTTTTTCAGTAAGAACTATCAGGGAGATCAAACTGTATTTTTTTTTTTTTTCCTTCCCAAATACAAGGCTGGAGCTTCAATTTTAAAATCATGATAAATCCACTGAGAAGTTGCCTCTGTTTTCTACATCTGTGTGCATATGTAGAGATATCAATCTATATGCTAGCATATCTAATACATTTAAATACTTTAAAAGAACATAGTAATATAGCACAGGGAAAACCTTTATTATAAAAGCACATAACAAAGCTACAAATTCTGGTACTTTCCCAAATGTGTGCACTGGGACAGCAAGACTAGAATCTTGATGTGATGTACGAGAACCTGATATAAGCCCCGATAAAACTGTCATCTTTTGTCGTCATCTAAAATCTGGAGTTTAACGCTAGCACGTTGTACTTGGAGATACTTTCACAGGTTTTCTCAAATGCAGTGTCAGACTATTTGAGGGATCTCATTGAAGTGCTTTGGTGTATCTGTTCTTTGTATACAGGAGGTAAAAACTGAGGATACTGTTGGTTGAATGGAGATAGAACAGGTTATTAAGGAAAATGGCATTGTTTATGGCTCATTAGAAAAAATCATATATTCCATAAGGGAAGCAGAAAGACGTAGCTGAGCTGCATGCAAGGTTTTAAACTAACAATTGTATCCTAGGAATATGTAGGTGAAATGTCTGAGTGCAGCTGGCTGTATGCATGCACGTTCAGTGAAATTCTTACACCCCTCTGAGGAACGTTGCTCATTTGGAGAGATTAATCAGAAAGAGGAAGTCAAAATACCCCTGAAAGAGAAAGGAAATACTTTATTAGTAAATCATTGATGAGT